GCAGAAGGGGAGTGCCCTGTGGCCGGGCAAAGCTGCACTGTGTTCTGGGGTTGGTGAGAGTGCAAACCCTAGGTGCTGGGTGCTCCAGCCCAAGGTCACCCCAACTGCAGGGCAGGAGAGAGGAGCACAGAATGGAGGAATCCCACAGAGATTTTCTAGGAAGCCTGGGAACCACTTCCACACAATGCTTTGCATAAATTTACGTGGCAAAGAATATTCTTTGCATGCTGTGTTCCAGAGGCTCCGATTCCAAGGAGACCAAAATGCCAGACGTGACTCAGGAGGTTGAAGTGTGCTTTCCTTTGGGATCAGGGAGGGGAGTGAATAGGGAGGGGCTGCAAAGAAAGGGAAGGCTCCCCAGGATGACCAGCTACCCTGGTTTGTCCAGGACTGGGGGTGTCCCAAGGTGCAGAAATTTTACTGCCAAAATGAGGAAAGTCCCATGTAAACCGGGACAAGTAGTTCACCCCACATCCATCTCCCACCTCAAACAGTGCCTACAGCTGCACTCTACCTGCCTGGCTGTTGTGTCCATGTCATAGCAGTGGCACCATTGCTGATCGAGCACCAGCTGTGTGCCTTTGCATTCAGAAAACCCTCCTTCAGGAAAGCCAGTTGAGAAAACAGTGCAGGGGGGTCTAGTTTCTGGTGTGAACAGTTAATATTCTCCCTGTGCAGCATCTCTACCTTGATGTGAATACACGTACTACAGGGCCTGTCAGTAACCAGCAGAGGCCAGGAAGGGGCCAGAGCTGGGTGAAGGGGCACACAGGAACGAGTCAGTTTGGGTGAGTGGGCAGTCAGGAGAGGTGTCCTGGAGGAGGTGGAGTGGAGAAGAGAGCAGGAGGTGACTGGCGTCACTCAGGGCACACAGAATGTTGGAGAATGTCTAAATCTAGGAGCAGGGGGCTGCATGTGTGGGATAGAAGGATAGAGGGAGGCACTGCCATGGTCCAAGCAGGGGCAAGGAGGCCTGTCCCAGGGCAGTGATGTTGGGTGAGGGTTGGAAGCTTGTGGCCAGTGCCAGAAGAAAGGGTGCCAGGAGGAGCCAGTCTGGAAAGGAAGATTCACAGTCTGCTCCCATCTTGTGCTCTCAGGAACCTTCCAGATGCAGGGAGGGATGCATCCAGTTCCAGAAGCTGATGAACCTGGGGCAGGATGGAGTTGGGGGTGGGGCTCTAGAGTGAAGCCCAAAGGACAGGGAAGCCTGGGAAGAGTGCATAGCCGGATGGAGCAGTCCCAGCCTGATGAGCTGCGGTAGGGCTGGTGCAGATGGCCAAGCTGATGCATATGGAGCAGCTGTCCTGGGGGGTGGAGAATCATGAGGTGCTGGCATCTAGGGGATGAGCGACTGTGGTCTTACAATCAAGCCAGGTCCAGCTTCCCCAAACGCTGGGGCTATGTGAGACCAAGACCAGGGGCCCCTGCTTACCTATTTTCCCCTGCAACCTTCCACAGCCAGGGGATGGGTTCTGAAATCTGCAGGCCTGACGTCCTAGGCCTGAGAGGTGTGGCTGAACCTGAGCACAGAGCATCCTCAGACCACCCCTGAGCCCTCTTCACCCTGGCAGCACCGGAAACCCTGCAGCCAGGACTCAGCCAGGCTTGGCCACAGCAGGGCGTGGGCCCTGAGCTGCTAAAGGAAGGGCAGGGCTGGAGCCAGGTGCAGGTGGCTGGAGAACAAGGGAGAAAGCAGATCCCACCCACCCACCAGGAGCTGCCTGGGGGCCCCAGAGACAAAGGACACTCTTGGTAGGTTTACTTTGGAACATGAGGCTGCCCAGCTGCTACAGCAGAGAGCTTCATCTGGAATCTGGTTTCAGCAGCTCCCCTGGACAGACTATACCCCTCCCAGGCCAGGGCCCCGAGGGGGTGGATGCTCTGCTGGAGGCCAGCCGGGATAGGATCTTCCTTAGGACCTAGGGCTTCTTCACCAGGCCTTGGATGGAGAAGATTGGAGAGGTTATGGAAGTGCTTGGACATAGGACATCTGCCTCTCTGGTCTTCGTCCATCCCACAGGGCCACTGCAAGACTCAGAACGGAATTTCTCAGGTCCAAGGGTGGGGCAGACTGGGGTCCCAATCCACACCCGGAAATGACACAAAGTCCAGGTAAGTCAGAGCCAGAGGCCAGGGTAGTGGCTGAAACCACTCACGATAAAGAGCGTTATAGAATCCCAGAAAGGACTTGGAGGCTCGCCTCATCCTTCTTTACAGATGAGAAGCTAAGGTGCAGAGGAGGGGACCCCACGGTCGGCATCTGAGCAAGGACCAAGCCAGGATCTTAACCTTCCTCTACCAGTTGAATGAAGCCCATCTCAGAAGCACGTATTTTGAGACAAAAGAAAACACATAGGATTTAAAAGGAAACCACCTATATTGAAATACAGCTATCAGAACACAGAAACCAATTTTTGATAGATAGTATATGTCTTTATTCATGTTTTAAATATTAAGATCTAGCAGCAAATCTAAGTGCTATAATTTTGAAGTCGTGATGAGTATTAATGTTATTTGAGAGGCCAGCAGCAACTGTAACACGACAGGGAAATATCTGCAGTTTCTTTTGGTCACAATTTCTGCTTTGTTGCCTACATTCACAACTGAAGGAAATGGTCAATTTGAATGAGAGGTTAATGAGAAGGAGATGTGATTTCTCCCCTAAATCTCTCCACCACCCCTTCACGGAGTCTGTTAAGAAGGGCCCCCTGAACTATTAATACATAGACAGGCAAAACTAATCTATGCCATTAGCAGCGAGGAGAGTGGTTCCCTGGGCAAAGGAGGGTGTTTAGTGACTGGAGGGCAGCCTAAGTCAGAGAGACTGGGAGCATTTTATCTCTTTTTCTGGGTGCTGGTTACCAGGTGTGTTCCGTTTGTGGAAATTCATCCATCTGTACACTTATGTGCACGTAACTGCGTGAATCCTTTGTTTAATACAAATTAAAAACACACCTTTACTGGAACAGACGTATGTGCAGGTGTCAGCTTGCACCCGCACAGGCGCACGCCCTCTCTCTCTCACACACAAACCGTTGCCAGTGTGTACCAGTGAGCCTCTGCAGATCCATGGGCGTGCATGTGTCCCCACAACCCTTGCAGGCATATGGACACAGATGGATACAGTGAGACAGAGAACACTATTTTTAGGAAGTCAGTCTAAGCAAAAGAGGTGGCTTCCCAATTTATGGAACTGATTGCTCATAGCGGGGAGGGTTGCCCTGTAAGAAGCTGCTGTCATCCAGACTTTTTTTTTTATTTTTAAAATAAAAAGACGAATGAGTTTTATTGTTTCTGTAAAAATAATGCAAGCTCATTTTAAAGAATTCAAGCAGTGAAGACAAGTATAAAGAAAATAGTTTAAAATTAACCCAAATTTCCACAAGCTAAGAAAAAGAAGTCCTCACTCACATGCGTTGATGAGTGTTACGGATGTCTGTCTGTTCACGCAAAGATGGAAGGGAGACAGGGAAATGCTTTTATAGAGTGGAAACCTACTCCCTCACTTGCTATTTTTAAGAAAGATGTTCCTTTAACTTTACTTGAATGAAACAAGAAAAAGACGTAGAGTGGCTCTTCACGTGCGAGTCCTGGGACCTCTGTCCTGCCTCCCTTCACAAATTTCAATCCACACTTCCCCAGGGACCAGAGGCGCCCTTGTGAGGTCTGAGTGTGTTGTGTTCGCTCACCGTTTACCTGTCTCTTGGCCAGGTGCCTGCTTCACAGCAATCCAGGGCTCAGGGCTGCGGCCCCAAAGTCCAGGCCCTTTGGCGGCCATGTGCAGGGGTTGCTACGGCAGCAGCTCGTTGGGGTCATCAGTGACGTGTTTTGCAGGAGTAAGATCAAGGCAAAGCTGACCCTTGCGAGGGAAAAGGATTTTGTTCTGGCAGAGATGTCCAACAGGTGTCCACCGTGCCCTCTTGAACGGGTGCCCACCATTCCCCGGTTTGATGTGGTCATTAGCGATGCAGCCTGCCGACTTGGTGTCACAGTCAAGAGCTGTTCTGACCACATCCTGTTTTGGTGGGGCAGTTGGGGCTGCATTCTTTTGCCTCGGTGTCATAGGCAGAGTGTGTTCACACCAGGTTCTGGATTGTTTGAGGCCACCAGGGGCCACATTCTCCCGGTTTGGCGTCACATGCATGTGCCGGCTGGATGTCCTCGCTGATGAGTGGTCACCGTTTTCCGGTTCTGCTGTCACTTGGGATCAGCATTCATTTGTTCTCATTTGGGAGGAGGGGAGCAAGGAGCAGTGTGAGGAGCCAGAGATACTCCATCAGCTCTTCCCTTTTTTTCTTTTTTTGCAATATGATTCAATTTATTGCTAGAATTTTATTTGGTTATTACAAAATCTGTAAGCATGTATGTATTTTTAAAAGGGATGGGGGAGATGGAAGGCAGAGTTACCTGAAGTTCAAGTTACCTAAAGTGCCAGGCTAATTTTAACCTTTCCAAGGAAGGGAAATAGCTCAGATGGGCAAGGGAGGCATTGCCCATTTTTTGAGCCAGATTGTTTCGGAAGGTTTCTGCACCCTGGGGATTTCCTTGGGAGCCTCTCCGCAGGGGCTCCACCACAGCTGTGTACACCAGGGTGCCAACATCTGGATGACAACTCCAAGCTGAGAAATGTCTCAAGTGATGACAGCTAAGAAACCAAAAGATGCAAGTGTTTCCTCTTGTGTGGAATGGGACAAAAAGAAGGTGCTTGGATGACACAGTCACTCTTGCCTGCTTGAATTCAGACATGCTTGTTAGGAGGGGAAAGAGGAGGTGACCCTGCTGCCTGTCCACATGTGTGCCCCGTAGCCTGGGGGGCTTTGGGTTTACCCACGCCAGTGTTGCCCAGGTGTGCCTGTGGAGTTGTTGGCATCCTGGGGTCTGGAGCCTCTCTGCAGATGGTGTCCCTCCCTCCATCAGCACAGCCACCCCCAGGAGGTCTGCCCACCCTGCCCTCTGTCCCTGGGCATAGCATCAGGCCCATTGTCTGTGTCTTCCAGCTTCCCCGCAGGCCACGTGAGGAGAGCCTGTGCCCAGAAGCAGGATGAGAAGATGGCAAACTTCCTATTACCTCGGGGCACCAGCAGCTTCCGCAGGTTCACACGGGAGTCCCTGGCAGCCATCGAGAAGCGCATGGCGGAGAAGCAAGCCCGCGGCTCAACCACTTTGCAGGAGAGCCGAGAGGGGCTGCCTGAGGAGGAGGCTCCCCGGCCCCAGCTGGACCTGCAGGCCTCCAAAAAGCTGCCAGATCTCTATGGCAATCCACCCCGAGAGCTCATCGGAGAGCCCCTGGAGGACCTGGACCCCTTCTATAGCACCCAAAAGGTGACTACCACCCACCTCCAGCCCTGCCTACCCTTCTGTGCAACTCCCTTGTCAATGGAGCAGAGAGGAAAGAGGGCCTGGCCTGCACATGGGGCTCTGTTTAGGGGGGCTCACCAGGCTTTGGGGGCATGAGTCACTGGGGATCTGTATTCCAACCACCTTAATTTTGGAATTCGGGAATAAAAGACAGGAATTATGCAGCCTGAGATGCTGGTTTGGTGTCATGAAGAAGAGAGGGTAGCCTCAGGGAAAACATGCCTCCTGTGACTACCTTCTTTGGGAATTACCTGTGGTTAGATTTTCACCCCTGAAGGACTCCTCCCCGTTGTGTGGTGTGTGTGTGAATTGGAGTCAAGCCCTGAGTTCTGGCCTGCGTTTGGGCCCTGCCTGAGTTTGGGCCACAAAGCATAGCACGTGGTCCCTTCTCCCTACTGGGGACAGCATGTAGTCCCCACACCCAGGAACTATGCATGGCTACGCTGACTGGCTCAGGCCACAGCCACAGCAGCAGTTTCCTGAGCTTTGAGGGCTGGCAACGGGACCAGGAAGACCAGTGGAAAATCTAAGAGGGATGGAGAGGACAGTGATCACTGGGGGATTTTTGGAGGAGGGTGGCGTGTGACATTCTGCCATTGTCCCTTCTGATCATAGGGAAGGGAAGTGGCTTTTGTCCACTAGGGCAGGGAGACTCAGGCTTCCTCCTAGCGTGGCTCCGACCCAAGAGGTAACTGCCCCTGTCTGAATCCCCTGCCTGGCCTCCCTCCTCCAGATCTCAGGTCCGTTTGTGCCCCAGCCCTGCACCCTACCACATACAGAACTCCTGCAGAGGCTTGGTCTCCAAGCTGCCCACGCTTCTGGGCCTTACTTCCAGAGGAAGGTGGATTTGAATTTGGGGGAGGTCTTTTTCCCAGAAGGCTGAGTACAAGGAAGACAGTGGCCAGGCACAGTACTGCAGTCAGCACCAGGCTGAGGAAGCTCGTGGGGGTCAGACAGGGCTGGTGTGGCCAGTGCAAGAATGTGACTGCAAGGGTGTGTGACTGTGGTTTAAGACCAAGCGCCTGGGGATGAGCCTGGGGTGCATCTTTGGGTGTGCATGTGTGCATTGGATGTGTGAGTGGGTGTGTGTGTGAAGTAAAAGCCCACCCAGTCCACATAAACAGGTGGGGGAGGAGGCCTTGAACTTGGTCCTGCTCCCAAGCCCCCAGCTGAACTTTCCCTTGGTACAAGTGACTCCAGTGGAGTCCAGGCAAGGTTGGGGCCACAGCTGGGGTCAGAGTGAGGCTGGAAGGTGGGCTTAGTCAAGGTGGGCAGGCCTAGGTCATGGTTGGTGAGAGATGGAAGTAGGAATTGGGGTTGGGGTTAAGGCCACAGCTGGTAGTAAGTCAAGGTTATGGGGAGAGGATGAGTGGCAATTAGGCTGAAGTTAGCTGGGACAGGCAGGCTCCACGGCAGGTGGACCCGACTGAGGTTGAGGTCAAGACTGGGCTGGGCTTTTGGGGGCTGGTGGCAGCTGAGCATGTGAGGGGTCAGAGGCACCATCTCTTCTGGCCTTGGGTCTGGGAATGCTTGAACAGCGGCTCCAGGGATGATCCCGGCCTCTCACTTGCTGTTTCCACTTGCTGATCCCTGGCCACACTGCCTGCAGCCTCCCAAGGCAATGGAGGCACCACAGCAGAACTTTTGGTCCTAATCTATGTGGTCAGCTTATCTCTCCAGACCAGATTAGGTAGAACCTTGTCCCACCAGCTCATTCGGCAGGCCAGTGGACTCACTGCCTTGCCCATGGGTGGAGGTGAGGGAGGTCTCAGGGGAATGTCAGGTTGTGATATTCCCCTAGACCTCTGTGAGGCCACAGAGCTGTGACCACCACACACCGGGGCAGGTGGGGAGGTACCGCTGTCCTCAAGGGCTGCTTGGGCACCTGATGTGCACATGTCTCAGCATTCAGCTCTCGTTGTCCGCTCCTGGGCCCCATTGTGCTGTGTAGAAAGGATCTTCCAGAAGCTCAGGGAGGGGTTGCATTGCTGTTCATGATCCCCTGGAGGGAGGCAGTAGGCTGTGTCCTGTGGGATGGGGCTGACATTTGTCCCAGACTCCAGGAGACAGAGTCCCAAGAAAAGCTCTCGGGGGACTGCTTCTGCATTTTCCTTTTCTCTTCTCCTCACCTGTAAGTCCTCCCTGCTGACCCAGCTCCCCTGTCACGTCCTCCCTCCCAGTGGGCCTGGTGGGGACCCCACGCAGGCTGAGGAGGGGTCAGCTAAGGGAGAAGGGGAGGGAGGAGGCATCCCCAGGTCTGCTGAGCCTCTGCTGTGACAACAGCTGGGCAAGGACTGGAAAAGATCCCTTCTTTTTGTGACTATAATTTTGAAACTAAATCTCAACCAAACTGACATTCCCCTGAGACCTCCCTCACTTCCACCCGTGGGCAAGGCAGTGAGTCCACTGACCTGCCAAATGTGCTGGCAGCCGCCCGTCCCCGTCTCCTCCCTCAGTCCCTCTCCTCCTCCTCCCACCCCACCCCTCAGCCACAGTCCAAGGGCTCTGAGCCAAAAGCTGCCCCCAAAAGCCTTTCTACACAAGGGCCTAATGCTACTGTCTGTCCCCAGACTTTCATCGTACTGAATAAAGGCAAGACCATCTTCCGGTTCAGTGCCACCAACGCCTTGTATGTCCTCAGTCCCTTCCACCCCATCCGGAGAGCGGCTGTGAAGATTCTGGTTCACTCATATCCTTTGCAGTTAATACCTGCTGAGTACCCCCTGGGGGCCCACACTGGGGATGCGCACGGGGTGCTGCCCCCAGCCCACCTGCATTCTAGTTTAGGAGAGTGGTGCTCATTCCCTGCTGGTCCTAAGACAAACACATGGTCATGACCTGGGAGCTGGTTGGAAATGAAAAACCTCTGACCCTCCTCCAGACCTACCAAGTCAGCATCTGTATTTGCATTTGATCCCCAGGGGATTCTTGGGCACGTGAAAGTTTGAGAAACCCTCTTCTGATTCTTCAGGAGAACATTCTAGAAGCTAAGCTACTGAGGATCCCAGAATAAATGGCATCTGTCAGGCTCTGATATTGGCTCCAAATGTCCCTTCCCACCACACCCCCTTGGGCCATCCTTCTCCCCACCCACTTGCAGGGACCTTCGAGCAGGTCACCAGAACTCAGCCAAGGAAAACTCATTTCCCAATAAAGAGGCCTCCAGTTTATTCACATGTGGGCATCTTTCGAGGGCGGCAACACTTGCTTTTTGATTAGGCGTTGACAAAATGTTTGCAGTTTCAGAGTATCACAGAGAACTCTGGTTAACATTAAATTATATAAACCACAGCTGAAAAAAGCTCCAGCCTGCAGAGGAGAGCCATTGGAGTGATGCAGCGTAATGAGGCACTTACCGGGCTTGGGCCTGAGAGGGGCGTCATTTGGGCAGCACACGGCATGGGGCGCCAGCACCTAATCACTCTGTTCTCTGGACTTCGGAGAAGGGGCCCCATAGATGGAGCCTTCCAGGAGGGCGGTGCCAGCTGCAGAGTCAGAGGCATGAGTGTTTCACTGCGAGGGCCTGGGCAGGCCTCCCTTTGGCCAGTGGCAACCAGGGTGAGTGCACGCGTGCAGGTGGCCCTGCTGTTCATTTAAGTGATGCTGCTAGGCTCAGCAGTGCGACTGACTGTGGGTCTAGTGGGCTGGGCCCACAGAGCTCCTCAAGGTCCCCTTCAGCCCCCTCTCTGAATGGACTTCTTTGAGGCCAAGACAACGACTTCACTCACTAACCTCCAGCCAAGGTAGGAGGCATCAGGATTACAGATACCTAATGAGGGACTAAGTAACTGGGACTGAGGCTGGCAGGTCAGGAGCTTTTCCTGTTGGGGCAGGGATGGGGGATGCTCCTCCTATGGCTCCACTTTCTTCCCACCTGTTCCCAGTGCGTGATCCTAACCCCAGGGGTTCATTGGAGGGGCATGCACAGCAAGTGGTGTCTGCATGCAGATGTGCAGTAAAATGCATGCTTGCTTCCAACCACTGTCTGCTCTCCTCTGGCCCACCCTTGCCTTCCTGGTGGGGTTCCTGAGACAACCCCACATGCAAACCATGGCTGTGGCATGAGCAAGGTGGGAGGCAGACACTGTGGAGAGGGACTGTGTGTCGTGGGCAGCCTGCCATTCACAGCTGCATCTTATTCTGTGGGGCAAGTGTGGGCAAGTGTGTAGATTTCGTCTTGAGCCATCGTGAGTTTCCTGTAGGTGTCAGACTGTTTGCTGGACATGCTGGGGTATCGAGCCAAATAAGACCTGTCTGGGCCCTTGGCAATTTTATCGTCCCCTAAAAGTAATAAGGCAGCATTGCAAATAGTTATCAGTTCTGCCAGAGTGTGGTCACAGCCTGGTAAGAAGAACAGAGCAGCAGGAGGAGGAAAAGCCAGCTTTTCTTGCTCTGAGCCTGTCTCCGGCCTCACTCCAGGGGCGTGGCCTCTCTAAAAGCATCCTCCAGCTCTCACCTGGGGCTTCTCCTCCAGGTATCTAACCAACCCAGTACTGTTTGGCAGCCACAGAAGCCCTCAGGGATGTAGCAGAAACTCCAGGGCTCCTGCAAGGGACTGAGCTGGGTCTTGAGGGAAATAAAAGGTCAGAGAGGCAGGTGGGCAAGGGAGGAAGTGGGGGGCCCTCGAGTGCCCAGCCTGGCCAGAGTGTCCATTGAGCAATGGCTCTGAGGCTGTGAGGTGCTGCTTCCACCTGGAAAAACTGGCCCTGAGGGCTCGGAGCCAGCCTCCATCCCCCAGGACAGCTGCCCCAGGGAAGTGTCGAGCATCAGTGAGGACCTGTACTGGGTTCCCAGTGGCTGCCTTGACACTGCTGCTGCCTGGGGATGGGAGCACATTGCTGGACCTCGACAGCGCCACTTGGTGGGCTCAGTGGGCACTGGGGGGAAGAAGAGGTCTAGATTTGTGGGGTTTGGGAGCAGCCCCTCTGCAACACTGTTGAGCCTTGACATTGAGTGTGGTGTGTGGACCAGTAGCATCAGCTTCACCAGGATGTTATAGGAGTGGCCAAATCTGGAGCCTCACCCCAGAACCTGTGTTTTAGCAAGGTCCCATGTGCATGCCACCCTAGGGCAGTTGCTTCCAAATGCCAGTCTGAGGGCCACGTCAGTCTCACCTGGGAAGTTTGTAAAAATGCAAATTTTTAGCTCTGGAAAGACCAGAATTACCAGTGTGAGGCCTAGAAATCTATAAGCACTCCATGAAGTTTTTTAAAATTTGAGGTATACTACTTCATATACCATAAAATTTATCTTTTTTTTTTCTTTTTTTGAGAGGGGGGTACGGAGTCTCACTCTGCCACCCAGGCTGGAGTGCAGTGGTGCAATCTCGGCTCACTGCAACCTCTGCCTCCCAGATTCAAGCGATTCCCTGCTTCAGCCTCCCGAGTAGCTGGCATTACAGGCACTCGCCACCACACCCAGCTGATTTTTGTATTTTTAGTGAAGATGGGGTTTCACCATCTTGGCTAGGCTGGTCTTGAACTCCTGTCCTCGTGATCCATCCGCCTCGGCCTCCCAAAGTGCTGGGATTACAGCCATGAGCCACTGCACCCAGCCAAAATTTACCATTTTTAAGTGCACAGTTCAGTGGTTTTTAGTATATTCATAAGGTTGTGCAACCATCACCACTATCTACTTCCAGAACATTTGCATCACCCCAAAAGAAATTCCATGCCCCTTATCAGTCACTATGCATTTCTAAAGAACATCAGATCTCATGTTTTGAATGGTGAACTTTTGCTCTGCTTAAATTTTTATACTCATTCAAACATCTACTAAGTTCTATATGTGCAAAGTTCTGTGCTACGCCCTTTGGGAAGGGTAAGTGGGGCAAAGACAAACTTAAAAGTGGACAGGAATGCAGCCTGGTGAGAAAACCTGCTCACTCATGACGATCCAGGAGCTCACAGACTACAGCAAGTGTGCGGTGATTCCACTTGGCTTTGTTCTTGGCTCCATGCTTGCAGTGTGTCTCTGGGAAGTTACCAAAAAGTAAATATGGGCATGTGGAATGATTTTTTGTATGTATTTTTGTTATAATCCTGCAGAATGTGTTCCTGCTGGGGTTAAATAAAAGAAACCAACTGAACTCCATATCCTACCGCAGTCACATTCAGAGAGGCCTCACACGCACACCAAGAAGCATTTTGCCTTCCTGGTTGTACAGGATCTGTGCACAAAGTCCTCCCACGTTCCTCTACTGGATTCAAATGGGCAATCAAACCACATGTCCGTGTGTGTATGTGTGTGCGCATGTTGATTTAATAGCACAAATACATGAAAACACCCCTCCACAGTTAATTACCTTTTCTTTGGGAGTTTTTTTTTTGCTGTTGTTGTTGTTGTTGTTTTAACTCCCTGGGATCTGAAGACTTAGGCAGCCCAAGTGTCAGGCATTCCCTACAACTCAGGCAGTCCTTGCTGGCATTTTAATCACGAGCCTCGGAGTGGATGTTTGGGGACAATGACATGACAAGATTGAAGATGTTCAGCTGAGCATAGACCTGGAGAGCTGGCCTTTGCCTCAGCCCACACAAGGGACCAGCTCAATCATCAGCCTGAAATTACGAGGCAGTGCAAACAGGTGTGCCCCGGCCAGGAGTTCAGTTGATTCATCTCTCTGGTGTTGGCTACATGCTGGGCGCCATGGGGGACCTGGGTATGCTTTAGGCAGAGTCATATGGACCGGGGGCTCAGTCTAGGAAGGAAGAGATCTCATACATGCAGAAGAAGGACTGACAATTGTGCAAGTGCTGTCCTCAAGGCCATGGGAACCAGGCAAGGATTTTGAGCAGTGAAGTGGCAGAGAGACAAGAGCTTGCTACACGTCACCCTAAGCCATTGCTGTGTCTGGAAAAGATAAAACCCAGGTAGATAGCTCCTGTCATTGCCCACCATGGGACCCAGGCCCTGACTGGTGGGATTCAGAGGGCTGTGTGCCCTGGCTCTTCCCTGAGTCTGGGTGTTCAAGTTCTCACTCACCTCTGTCTGGGTCCAGCCAAGTCCTGTAGTACAAGGCAGCCTGTTCACACCACTGCTCCCTGCAGTGGGGCCTGTTCCCCACTCTAAGGAGAGCTGTGAGTGGTCCCCCTAGAGGGACTTGGCTCTATCGAGAGGAGTCCACCACCCAGCCTTCAGCCCACGCTGCTTCACCATGACCAACTGGGCTGACTGGTTGCCAGAGCAACCCTGGCCAGCCTTGGTGCTTATCTAAACGCCTCCTCCAGGAAGCCTTCCTGCCCAGCCCAGCCAGAGGCCTGTCTGGTTTTTTCATAACATCCCATGTCAGAGCGTTTTGGGGACATGGCTCCATTGCCCCCCTGGCTCCCACTCAGAGCCAGATACACATGCTCAGGTGGGATTTCCTCTTACAAATAACAAATAATTTCCTCCTTCCTGTACGGTAGTCTCCCCACATTCGACGGTGCTCTTTACCTCGTTTGGTTTTCATACCGCCCCATGGGTGGCAGAGGCCAGGCATGGAATAGCTTACCTGCTTGGCACGTGAGGGCCAGAAGCAGCGTGACTCATGCAGGCCCTCCAGTCTGGAGGCAGGAGAGTGGACCAGGTGGCCTTGAATGTCATCTTGCAGAGGTGGTGCAGCATGGGGCCTCAGAGTGGGGCCCGGATCAGGAGAGCCAGGGTGCGGGCTGGCTCAGCCATTGATCAGCTTGGTACGGGGAGTACTTTCCCAGGACTGCTGTAACAAATTACCACCAACACAGTGGCTTAAAGCAACGCAAATTTATCATCTTACAACTTTGGAAGTCAGAGGTCCAAAATGGTTCTTGCTGGTCTAAACTCAAGGTGTTGGCAGGGCTGCACTCCTTTTGGAGGCTCTAGGGGAGAATGTGTTTCTGAGGCTTTTCCAGCCTCTGGAGGCTGCACCGGATTCTTGGTCTGTGGTCCCCTTTCATCATCAAGCCAGGAATGGCCAGTTGAGTTTCATGTCACAAAGCTCTGCCTCTCCCTCTTCCGCTTAAAAGGACCCCTGTGATTACACTGAGTCTACCTGGATAAGCCAGAATGATCTCCCCACCTCAGGATCCTTAATTTAGGGCCAGGAGCAGTGGCTGATACTTGTAATCTCAGCACTTTGGGTGGCCGAGGTGGGAGGATTGCTTGAGCCCAGGAGTTCAAGACCAGTGTAAGCAATGTGGTAAGACGTTGTGTCTACAAAAAAAAAAAAAAAATTAAAAATTAGCTGGCTATGGTAGTGCGCATCTGTAGTCCTAGCTACTCAGGAGGCTGAGGCGGGAGGATCTCTTGAGCCTAAGAGTTCAAGGCTGTGGTAAGCTATGATAATACCATTGCACTCCAGCCCCAGTGACAGAGCTAGACCCTGTCTCGTGGAGGCCACGGGAGATCCTTAATTTAATGACGTCTGCACAGTCTCATTTTGTCCTACAAATTAGCATATTCACAGTTTCCGGGGATTCATCCATGGCTACCTTGGGGATGGTGGGGGCGTTATTCTGCCTACCACAGTGACCTTCAATTTAACCTCTTTGTGCCTCAGTCTTCTCATCACCTAAAATGGAAACAAAGTCTGCACCACATATTGTTGTTGGGAAAATTGAATTAGCTGATGGACACGGAGAGCAAATTCTGGTACCTAGGAAGGGCTCAATAAATATTCACTCTTGGTATCATTGCTTGCATATTTTAGGAGTCACCTGGACTTCTCAGTAGACGCTTAGCAGTAGATCCGTGGGGATGAATAAAGGCTGGTTGGGGGGCTTGTTAACCATCTGCCCAGTGAGGAAAGCCTTGGCACATAGCCCGCGTGTGGGCAGTATGTGTTTTTGTGTGTGTGTGTGTGTGTGTGTGTGTGTGTGTGTGTAAGGGAGAAAACGTACTGATACTGAGATGATTATCTGATCCTGCTTTGAAAGCTGAAGAGGGACATAAGCCTGGCCCTGGAGACCCTCACACAGACAGAGGACTGGGCAGATACCAAACTGATGGAGAGACCCCAGGGCCTGAAGTGATGCCTTCTGGTCAGGGAGAAATCAAGTCTTCCTGGAACCATGGCATTGGAGCCCAGCAGTCCTGTTGGCTCAGTCCTCGTTTGACTAAGGGAGATTCCCAAAGCCTAATTCCCTCTCATCCCAGATGAGAAATTAGATAATTATAAACTGGAGGCTGGTTTGAGATGCTGATTTCCTGATTGCCTGACTCCCTAGAAGAGGACTGGCAGCACGGAGGGCATCTACCTGGTTAGATTCCTGAGAGGCCTTAGCTGGGTCTGTCGGCACCGCAGCCTGGCCTGGTCTGTGGTCTGACTGCACCGGCCTCCCCGTCAGGTGAGGTGGAGCTATGCTAGGGAGGAAAGAGGCAGTCCCTGGAGCTCAATTACTGCAGCTCCTGGGCGGCCTGAGGGAATCACCAGTTTGGCAGCTGTGCACACGGGGCTGAGGCCAGGCGTGGTGTTGAGTGCTTGGGGGCTGGGGAGGGATTTGTGAGAGAAGTACAGTGTCCCTGCTCTAGGCCAGGCCCCAAGGGGTGGTGAAGCCCACAGGAGGCCCAGAGTCTGCCCCTTTGTTCCTCTGCAGGCCTTGCAGAAGTGAGGCAGAGGTGGAGGAGGGTGGTCAGAGCTTTGTCTAGCCTGAAGCAGCAGCTAGGAATTGTAGCCAGAGTCAGGGTCAGAGAAGGCCTGGGTAGTTCAGTTCAAGGCCAAGAGCCCACAAGTCGACCTGAAGCACAGCTCTGGCATTGGAAGCACTCCCTTGTGATGGGAGACAGACGGACATTGCCGTTCAGTGAGCCACCATGGCTAAAAGAGGGGTGCCCGAAGCCCGCAGGGCACAGAGGTAGCACTGTGCTACCAGAAAGGCAGGACAGGCTGCTGGGGAGTTGGGTGGGGTCCTGCTGAGGGGCTCCTGCAGGGTGAGAAGGAGATTCCCAGGTGGAGCAGAGGGCTAGCTTGAAGAGTAGGTACACAGGCAGGAAGCAGCCAGAGGAACGGTCCCCTGCCTCCCCAGGGGTAGCAGGCCCTGGCCAGGTGTGCAGTTGGTTGGCAGCAGAGCATTCTGAGAGAACTTCTAGAGAAAGCCTGGCCTGGGCTGCTCCCCTAGAAGTGGGGGAGGGAACTCAGAGCCCTGCCACTCTGGCCTTGCCCTCCCCTGAGGAGCAATTTATAAATGCCCATTTCTCTCCTATGTGACTGAGGACAGGGCCCCTCGCCTGACTGCGGTTAAAAGCCTTTGAGGTCTGGGGCCCACCTTTCCTGCCTTCCCTCCACACAAGACCCTACCAGCAGTATGGTTTCAGGTCTCTGGTGCCTATTAGGTGTCATGGAGCAGGCCAGGGGCCAGCTGCCAGTGCCGGGGAAGGGACAGAGACCAGCCTGGGTGGAGGGGGGTTGGCATGGACTGTGTCTCCTTGGAGACCCTGCTTATTGCTGTGGTAGCACTGTCCTGGCAGTGATGACTCCCAGGGGCAGGACCCCCCTGCGGTGGTGGCGTGGCCGGCCTGCACTGCTCGCTTTCCTTGACCCCACACACGCTCTTCAACATGCTCATCATGTGCACCATCCTCACCAACTGCGTGTTCATGGCCCAGCACGACCCTCCACCCTGGACCAAGTATGTCGAGTAAGTAAATCTTCAGGGCCTCTTCTCCACGTGGCCCTCTCTCTTCCTTTCCATTCCATGCCATGGCTCCTGAAGCTGCCCCGGAAGGGGGCTGTGTCCAGGCCCAGGAACTTACCCGTGGTGGTGGGGCAGCCCTTGGCTCAGCTTCTACCCTCTTTTGCCTTTCCCAGTCCTGCCAACTTCTGGCATTAATTTGAGTCATGCCTTTTAGGGAGGAAGCTCTCCAGATTGGCAAAGCAGGGAGTTTCTCCCTGTTCTGCCTAAAGAGGAATGATGACATTGGAGAAGGCTCTGAAATAATAATAATTTATTGAGCATTTTGTACACGCCAGGCACTGTCATAAGAACAGTAAGCATCATCTCCTTTAACCCTCATGGCCACCCAGTAGGGTGGGTGCAGCCACCTTCCCCATTCCACAGATAAGACTAAGAATTAGAGAAATAGCTGGCCTGATGTCATGCAGCTAGGAAGTGGACAGCTAGGAGGTGCCCCAGGGCTATCCCCACTTCAGTAACACAGTCTGCTGCCTTTTTTCCCAAGTCCTGCCTCCTATAACCATTTGCACAGTTCCAGAAACTGCTTCTGGTCTTTTCTTCCCAAACAAAAGTACCTTGCCTGGAGGTTCTAAGCAGATTTGATAGGCGCTTACTGCATTTGCCTGCAGTTTTCAGGAGACCAGCAGAATGTTGGGGCAGCCTCTCTTCCCAAAGCAGCCTGCCTGGTTGTTCTCCACGTTCACATAGATCCTAGCAGTGCTCTCAGCTGGTACGTGCAGCTGCTCTGAATCCTGGGATGCAGTCCTATTCCGCTTCATCCCTGGGGGCCCCAGTCCTAGCATCCAGGCATTTTGGATTCTTCAGGCTGCCCTAGGCAGAGAGAACAGCACCCCAACTCCCACCAGCCCCATGCATTATAACATCACCCTTCAAGCCCAAGGTAGACAGCTGGACCCACCTACCCTGTAGGCAGTTGAGGATTGACTGGGCCCATTGCTAGCTGCTGAGGACCCACAAACAGGGGTGAGGGTCCATGTATATGTCCTATAGCACAGACCCTGTGGCCACTGTATGCCTGTTAGACGCACAGCCCCCCAGGGCTAGGGTAAGGAGATTGGGAGGAGGTCTTCTTCCACCAAGACAACTGAGAGAGAACACAGACAGTTCAGATGGACACATGGCAGTTACACGATAATATGGAATAAACAAATTGGACGATGAATTCATTAGCCAGATGTTTAGAGCAAAGCTCCATCCCCAACTCCAGCTCTACCATGGGGACATTGCAGAGAGCCCCGTTTGATGGCCCCTGTTGAAGGGAGCTGTGTGGGCTCACACCATGTAGAGAACCTGGAGAACCTGGCCTGCTCAGGCCTCCCTGAGAAACCCCATCGGCCTCTCCTGCCCAGGTACACCTTCACCGCCATTTACACCTTTGAGTCTCTGGTCAAGATTCTGGCTCGAGGCTTCTGCCTGCATGCGTTCACCTTCCTTCGGGACCCATGGAACTGGCTGGACTTCAGTGTGATTATCATGGCGTAAGTATCTTGTTTGCTATGCTGTGCTATGCCATGCAGGCCACACTAGGGTGGAGTGTGCACACCCCAGGTCCCGGACCACCCCTCTCTTTCTGGCTTCCTCCCTGCAGTCCATATGCAGCTCTGTACACAGGCTGGAGGAAGGTAGGGTGGAGGCCCTCAGCTCATCCTGGTGGGGAGAGATGGCTCAGGCAGGCCTTGGTGGTCAGGCCTACTGGCTCACCTGGGGCTCCACAGCAGCTCTGGGCTCCAGGGACACCATTAAGATTCTGGTTTTGCATCCTCTGCCCTTTCCACCAAGAGAAAACAATATTTCAATCCCTGGCCCACTGCAAATGGTGACCTGGATTTCAAGATGATTAAGAATGAAATTGCAGTCAAGAGAAGGAGCCTGGAGAAGTGACTAAGCATCCCCAGGAACTCGCACCAGGCACACCAGCACATCAGCTTGCTCCATCCAGAGACTCAATGCTTGGCACATTTTAAAGCACCCGGCCACTGACACAATACAGTGGATCCTCACACCAGCCAGAGAAGTAGGGTACATGGGGATGGCTTAGCCCATTTTATGGGTGAGAAAACTGATGCCAAGAACACACAGGGAGCCTGCCAGAAAGTGCAAGTGACCCCAGGCCTGCCGCAGCCCAGGCCGAGGCCCCGCCTCTTTGCCTAGGAGAAACTCTTGCTGAGGGGTCAGTGTTGAGGCTGCACTCCACCGTGGAAGTGTCAGGGAACAGATGCTGGGTTCTGATGGGACATCTGCAGAAGTCGTGATCAGAGGCTCAGCCATCAAAGCCTTTTTGAAGGCTGAGTGCAGTGGCGCACGCCTGTAATTCCAGCACTTTGGGAGGCCGAGGTGAGCAGATTACTTGAGCTCAAGACTAGCCTGGGCAACATAGCAAGGCCCCATGTCTATGAAAAACACAAGAATTAGCTGGGCATTGTGGCGCACACATGCAGTCTCAGCTACTCGGAAGGCTGAAGCGAGAGAGGATCACTTGAGCCTGTGAAGTCAAGGATGCAGTGAGCTGTGATCACATCACTGCACTCCAGCCTGGGCAACAGAGCAAGACTGTCTCAAGAAAAGAGAAAAAAGAAAAAAGCCTTTCTGAAGCAGAGGACCTAGTGTGTGCAGGGTTGAGCACTGCACCTCAGCAAGGAGCACAGCTGGTAAGGCTCATACCCCCTGCCCTTGCAAACCCTCAGTTTCCCAACATGTGAAAGGATAGTGTTGGGTGCTGTGGTATCAGAAGCTCAGTTCAGCTCTCACTTTCTAGGATGCTTGGAATGCCTGAATCTACCTGTTGAAGACAGCCTTTAACCCCAGGCATGAGCAGCCCTGAGCTCAGCCATGCAGTCGGGGAGAGAGGACAAAGAGGGAAGCTATACCCTGGTGAATGGGGCACTTTCAAACTAGATGGAGAACCTGGTAGTGGGAAAATGCATCAGAATCTCTGTTTCTAGGTATACTATTTGTGAGCCAACTCTAGCCCTCCATTTTACAAGTGGGAAAACTGGCTCTGAGAGACAATATCACTTGCCCCAAACCCTATATGGATTTAGGCCTGGGTGGAGTTGAGCGAGCAAGGAAAGAGTGATGGGAGATGAAGTTGCAGAGTAGTGGGATGGAGGACAGATTGTGGTAAAAGCCAGGTGTGATGGGAGTCACTGGGGTGTAAGAACAGGCAGAGCTGTGACCTGCTTTACATTCTGTAGAGACTTCCCCAGCTATGGTGTGGACCACAGACTGGAGAAGGTAGAGAAAGACAGAGTAGTTAGGAGGCTATATCTTGGTAGCCAGGAGAGAGAAGATAGTGACTGGAACCAAGGACCAAGTGGAGAAGGGGAGCACCTGGTCAGATTCTGGACATATTTTGCAGGTAGGGCTGACGGGAGGCCCCCAAGGTGGTTTTTGGTTTGAGCAGCTGCTGGGTGGACGGTGTTCCCATTGGTTGAAATGGAAAATTGGAGAGAGCGGCACTGGCTGAAATAGGAAGAGAATCAAAAATCCAGTTAGGGATGTATGACATTTGAAGGCACCCAGGGTGAGATATTGAGTAGGCAACTGGATACGCCAGTCTAGGGTTCAATAAAGAGGTCCAAGGTGGAGGTATAAATTTAGAAACCGTGGGGATACAGATGGTATTTAAAGCCAGGAGACCAGATGAGATCACCTAGGCATGAATGTAACCTGTAGCCTGAATGTACTATGGGACGCTCCAACATCTGGAGGCCAAGAGAGAAGACTGGAGGGCAGAGGCAAATCAGAAGAGGGTAATGTCTAGGAAGGAATGTGATTCCAATGGAAACCTGCCACCAGGAGGTTGGAGAAGGTGATGACTAAGAATGGACTATTGGATTTCACAGTGGGAAGGTCACTGGTGCCCTTGACAAGAGGGATTCCAGTGGAGAAAAAGGACATGCACCTGGTTAAGGAGGGTTCGAGAGAGAGTGGGAGGAGAGGAGGTGTGGCAAGTAGAGACATCTATTTTGTGGGGATTGCTATAAAATGGGACCGAAAATGGTGTGGTGGTCCGTGCGGAATGTGGGTCAATCAAGGGAGGGCTTTTAAAGAAGGGGGGTATCTTTGCAGGCTGGTGAAAATGATCCAGTAGAGAGGGGATGCCAGATGATGTAGATGAGCAAGGGGATTGCAGGAGCAAAGCCCTTGAGCTGGCCCAAGAGGTTGGGAATCCAGTGCCAAGGGGGAGCGTCAACCTGAAGAGTGGGGAAGGCAGAATTTCAGGTGGAGATGGAGGTAGATTGATAGAGTTGATGATGAAGGAGAAAGGAATTTCTCTTCTGATTGCTTCTATTTTCTCAGTGAAGTAAGAAGCTGGATCATCAGCTGAGAACAGAGTGGGGAGGCACATCTGAGGTTTCAGAGAGAGGGAGAACTTTTCATGTCAGAGCCGAGGAGGTTGCACTGACTTGGGAATGGAGTAAGATTGCCAGGCTGGGCCCTGGGGTGCCCTGTGGGTGGGAAGCAGTAATCCACGGGGTCCTGAGGCTGAGTGTCACAGGAAGGAAGGTGGCTTCGGGCAGGAGAGGATATAGCGTCTGCCTGAGCCTTTCCTAGCTCCCCAGCCTGGAGCCTGGGCAAGACAATGTCACCACAGAGATCCCAGGAAGTCAATGCCCTGGCCCAAGCTTTGGCTCAAGCTGTGTCTCTGGGAGATGCGCTGAGCGACCTGAGGCCCTCAACCAGTCCTTCTGCCCTGTCTCCTGGGAGAATCCTGGTTTCATTCCCAAACCACTTCTTCCACTGGGAGTCACAAAGCAGGTGTGCCTTCCTCGCCAAAACCTGCTTGCCTTCGCTGTGTGCCAGGGCCAGGGCTGACAAGGCAGAACTCAGCCTCAGAAGCTCAGACACTCTCCATGTTTCCAAGCACCTCACAGAAATGGCACATCCACTTCCCAAAGGGCTGTGTGACCTATTGGCACATCAGCTGTTGGGCCCTTGGCTGGCCTGGCCTGGCAGCTTCGATTGACGGGGATTCTGGCTTGTGAAAACCAGTTAATTACTGCGTTTGAAATGCATTCTCTTAGAGATGCAATGGTTCAGTAACAAGGGACTCTAGGATAATCAAAGGAGACTTGAGTGAAGGGAAACATTCCATTCAGTGAAATCCTCCATCTGACCTCCATTACACAGATGGAGAAACTGAGGCTCAGAGAACCTCACACTTGTCCAAAGTTATAGACTGAATCAGAAGCAATGCTGAGACTAAAACCAAGTCTCTCAACTCCAAACCATGGGATGGATGGGAGAGGCATGCCGAGTCTGATGTTTCTGCTGGGGTGATCCTCCACCCCACTGATTTAGAGGCTGTGGGAGGGTCTGGGGCAGGGTGCTGGGAAGCCTGCCAGGCTCAGCTTGCAGCCCTCAAGCCAGAGCTCTTCCTGTGGCCCCACTCACAGAAGGGCATTACCTGCTAGTTAGCACAGCCTCCCACCTCCTGGGGTTGTTATGGAAACCAAACCTGGAGGGGAAGGGAGGAGGGCAGAGAGGAGGGTGGCAATTCCTGCAGTCACTAACGGCGTGGGCTTCACCATCTCAAGATAAGGGTGGGCAGGAAGAAGGCTTCCCTGCACTGGGGCTGGTGATGGGATAGGATTCTCACCCACCACCCTTTGCTCTTTCTGCCCCTGTCTGTTGTCCAGCTGTCTGCCCCGGGCCAGCAGCTTAGCCATCACTGAAGGAGCAGACTGGCTTGGAGGAGAGTTTTGCCAGCCTGAGAGGGGCAATGCTGTGTCTCCTCACGTGACCCCACACTTGCCACCTCTGCAACTGGCCCTGTGTCATACCAAGCATTCCTCCTGCCCTGCCACACTCAGAGGACCCAAAAGAGGCCTCGGTGGGGATCTGGGTGGAATAAGAGAGGCAATAGCCCACCATGTCACCAACATGGTCCCAGACATTCCACACCCTTACCCTGCAAGTCCTCTTTTAAGACTTCCTCTAACTCATGATTGCTCTCCCAGACAGACACACGGCCACCAGCTGCACTCCTATTTCCAGCCACTCAGCTGGCTTTGCAAGCCTGCCAGGAGCACAGATATGGTCCTCCCTTATTCTGTCACTAAGCTGTCCTTGTCACCTTGGGACACCAGCTGCCTAGAAGGCAGACAATGAATGGAGGCCAAGCACTGTCTGTGCTGGGGACACTGTGCTGGGGGCAGGTTCCACCCCAGGACAGGCAAAGATAGGCAGAATCTAAGCTAGAGATAGGCAGAGTTTTCAATGGAGACACCAGGGGACAGACTGGGTCTGTAAGGGACAGGAGGGAAGCAAGGACGGTTGGTTCCCTCTCTGACCTGCACAGTATTCCACTCACTCCCTGTAATTAGAAGAGACAGCCTTGAAACCAATATCCTGGGCAAGGGGAGCTGCTGTCCCCAGGCACAGTTGGTAGAACAGCAACCAAAAAAGGAGCCCAGAGCCTCCAGCAGGCCAGAGCCGTGGTTTCCATGGGATGGCAATGTCAGCAATATCCCAGGCTCAGCCAGAAAGTCCTGTGGCAGCACCATGTCTGGAGAGAGACCGAGAGAAGAATGTGGGACAGAGGCCTTAGGATCTGAGCCATCATGGAGAATGGAATAGCTCTCAGAAGTTGAGAGGGACCTTGGATCAAATTAGCAGGTGTATGTGGACCAAAACAAGCACGGTGACTTCTGCTCCCCAGCAGACGATGGGACTGCATCTGACTGCCACACTGGAGAAAGATGTACATGCTGAAGTGAATACAGGAGATGGAATGGAAACCACACCACAGAAAGGGTCTGGTGTCGCCAAAGGAAAGCAAGCTTTGGGAATGTGTCTGCTGACATCATCTGTGTAGGGCTTTGTGAGTAAGGAAAGATCAGCGTGGTGCATAGGGCCATGTGAAGATGGAGGGGCTCCTCCAGTGGACGTAGAGAAATCTGCTGTCAACCCAGTGTCAGTTAGAGCTGGACCTATGGACCCCAGGGCATTAAGTCCCTTGACTCAGCTGGCCAAGTTCTTTCCTGTAGATATTCAAAGCCTGAAGGGGAATTGGGAAGCTGGGAGCAGACTGGAAGGGCCTGGAGGTCCAGACTGCCCAGCAGAGTAAGTCTGGCAACAGTGCCAGCCCACCCTTGCACTCACCCAGAGCCACAGGGCTGACGTCCTATGTCTGACATCACTCAGACACCTGCGTCAGACGCACTTGGTTAAACATCAGACATCCCGAGTCCAGTGTCCTTTGTTAAACACCAGACACCTTCGGTTAAATGTCACACACCCTGGATGCAAAGCCTTTGATTAAATGTCACAAGTCACTTGCCACTGTCCCGATGGCCTTGGTTACACACTGTCCATGGTCCTCGTGGTCATGTGGCCCATCTACTGCATGTTCTCATGCTCTGCTTGGGCAGGTCCCTGCCCGCCAGCGACTACCTTCTTTCTCCTGTCCCTGTGGAGGCCACGGATCAGCAACTGTCCAAGTTCCAGGAGGGGACCCACAGCCGCTCACCCTGTTGAGCCTCGCTCGGACCCAAGTAGGACAGACCCCAGGAAGGGCATCTTGCCTCTGGAGGCCAGTCCTCCGGTGGAGACCCAGAGCCATCCCTGGAAGACACCAAGGGTCTGGGGGTGGGACCGGTAGACTTGTTGGGAAGGCACTCCACTGCCTTGGGGCCCCTCATCCTGCCCTTTTCTCTTCTTGGGTTGCTCCTTGCCTGTGAGTAGTTGAAGAATTCAGGCAACCTCTCTTCCCATCTTCCAGCGCCTCTGTCTTGGGAACTCTGTTTTTTCCAATGAGTATTCAGGCCACCTCCGCCTCGTGACTTCAGGGACTTCTGAGCCAGGCACAAGCTGATCAACAGATGGAGGTTCCACAGAAGATGTAGACCAAAACTAGGACCAGAAACGCACTTGCTTCCTGTATCACCTGACCTGAGCCTCTTGGAAAACAGGCTTCTCTCTTCGCTCTGATGTGTCCCCAGCCCCAGACCCCACATGTGGCTTCATGTCATGGATCCCAGTGGTGTGGAGACAGTGGCAAAGTGGTTGCCTCCTAGCACCGGTTATCCATGGCACCATCACCAAGAGAGTCGCCGGGAAGCTTGCCGTGTGGACATCCTTACGGCACTGAAGCTGAAGTCCTGTGTTAGGAGGGTTGAAATCCAGAAGAAAACCTGAGGGAGGTCCTGGGCTATCCACAGCACTGCCCCCCACCCCCATGGGAGGGGGCCAAGGGAGCGGGCTGGTCGGGGAGGGCAGGCGGAGGTTCTGCTTTGTAATTCCCAATAACTGTGGTTTGATTCTGCAGGTATGTATCAGAAAATATAAAACTAGGCAATTTGTCGGCTCTTCGAACTTTCAGAGTCCTGAGAGCTCTAAAAACTATTTCAGTTATCCCAGGTAAGATGCCCAGGTTTGCCTCTCAGATCTCAGCTACAAGTGACTCTCTCTCTGTCTTCCCCACCCCCTTTCCTCCTCTGACTGTGTGTCTCCTATTGGCGTGTTGTCATTGTCTCGTGTGTGAATTTCCCTTGTTACAGATACACAACTGAATTTGTGGACCTGGGCAATGTCTCAGCCTTACGCACCTTCCGAGTCCTCCGGGCCCTGAAAACTATATCAGTCATTTCAGGTGAAAATCAGGTTAAACGCCAAGGCTGGAGGGATACGCCTGGGCCTTTCCAGCCACCTGGGAGCCCAGGCAACCCTCCAGAAGGCCCTTCAAATGTGCCTGTCACCAGAATACCTTTCCTAGGGCTCAGGTGCCAGGGGCTGGTGGCAGTGGACATGCCTGTCCCCCTGGAGCCTCAGAATGGGCTTCAGGCTGCCCACCGCAGCAAAGCCCACTCTCACAGACACCAGGGGGCACAGAGCACCCCACGGTGGGGCCCACGTTGAACCCAATTTTTTTCCAAGATAGTGGACTACTTTTCCAAACCACACTCAGCTATTTGAATAGCTAAACGTTTTACATGAATTGCTTCAGACTGAAATGTCAGCTTCTGATGAGGAAACCAAAAGAAATGAATTTGCGGGAACCCCCATACACACCTGGAGTGAAAGAGGAAACCTCCAGCACGGTCTTTCATGACTGAGTGCCTCGACCCGCCTTGTGCCCCATCCGGTGATATAAGTAGGGCCAGAGCCCCAGCCCCATTTTGCGAAACAAAGTGTAATCTGCGGACAGGCATCATCGGGCCTTGGTGTCTAACAGCCCTCGCTGCATGGTGCGGTAGAGGTTTAGCAAACCATGCATGGTAGCCTCAGGAAGAAATTCTCCTTGACAGATGTTGGCAATTGCATCTGGGGAATCTCCTAGGCCCAGATGACCTCTCTAGAAATCATTCCACCCGTCCATTCAGGAAAACTCTGAAAAGACTTGTGATTTCTGAGCCTGCTTGTGCGATGTGCCAGTGCTGAAGCTGAGTTCCACCCAGGAGACATTCCTGTCCTAAGTTTGTATTCCCTCTCCCCAGACTCAAAGGTCCTCCTGTTTGGAGGAATTTGCTCTGGAGGGGCAGTGCCCAGAGGTTCGTTCCAGAAGTCTTTTCCAAAAGCAGCCACACTTAGAATTGGGGGAGGCACTTCTTTTAAAAACTCAGCTTGGCCGGGCGCGGTGGCTCACGCCTGTAATCCCAGCACTTTGAGTGGCCGAGGCGGGTGGATCACTTGAGATCAGGAGTTCAAGACCATCCTGGCCAACATGGTGAAACCCCGTCTCTACTAAAAATAGAAAAAGTAGTTGGGCATGGTGGCGCACTCATGTAATCCCAGCTACTCAGGAGGCTGAGGCAGGAGAATCGCTTCAGCCCAGAAGGTGGAGGTTGCAGTGAGCCGAGATCACACCACTGCACTCCAGCCTGGGCAACCTAGTGAGACTCTGTCTCAAAAAAAAAAAAAAGAAGAAGAAGAAGGCGGCTGGAAATAGGTTGCATGCCATCATTCTGGGGAGGTGTGACAGCTGACAGGAGGATCGGTTGAACCAGATGGCTACATCCACTCCTGATGTGGAACCTGGTGGCTCCCAGGCCTATTGCCTGCTTTGAGCTATGTTGCCCCCAAGGAGTCAGAAGCACTGCTCTAAGCTCCAGTAAGGAATCTGGACTCCCCGTGGTAGGGCTAGTTATCTTGCCAGAGGAGTCCCCAGTTATACTATGATCACACTGAGCTTTCTAACCTCTAAACCCACTGTTCGTAAGGGCCGCATCTCCCCCAGGGCTCCTACAAGTGGCCCAGACCCCTGCCAAGGGCCAGTAGCAAGGGGACAGTCTGCTCCTGCTCAGTCCCACGGAGCCACCTGCATTGAGACAGACATCATGGGCCTTGGCACGCATAGACTCAGAAACCACATGGTCTCTCCTCTAGGGCCAGGGGACAGCCTCACAAGCACACACCCCACCAAAGTAGACGAACACTGACCACAGGACTTAAGGCATATTCCTGGTGTGTTTTATAAGAAACATTTACAAAGGGAAATATTTCTCAGTCCTGGGGAAAAGGAGGAAGCCCACCAATCTCAGCCTAGCTCCATGGGACCTCTTCAAAGCTGCCAGCAACCTCGTGAGCCAGCAGGTTCTGAAAGTGGCCAATAGAAAAATACTGTGGTTGGCATTATGGAAGGCTCTTGGGAGGAGGTGTCCTCTGATTTGAGTCTGAAATAGCCCTAGACTCAAGTCGCTTTTCCATAAAATGAGAGTGAAATCAGAATTGGTGGTTTCCAAGGGCTCTTCTACCCATCCCGTTAATTCAGTGGCAGAAGGATTTCCCAGTTGATGTATTGGGGCGCATCCCTTCCTGGGTCTTTTCAGAAAGAATCCTGCAATTCCGTTGCAACCATTCTTGCCAGAAGTGAAATCTATCATCAGTATGAGAAATGTTCAAAGGGGTGAGTTATCCTTGGCCACTATGTCCACAGACCAAGTCAGGGGGTACTTTGCTGGCCTTGAATGGGATACTTCAGGCCAAAGAGACTTTAGCCTAACAATTGAGGCAGAGACCAGTTTGGGTATTCGAGCTGCTGTCCATCAGTCTTCACTTCGTTCCCCTCGAGACATGCAGGTGTCCAGCCCAGTAAACCCACCGAAGGGTACAGGAAGCTCTGTTACAGATGAGGAGCACTGGACCATGAAGAGCTTGTGGATCCCACCACCACCACTACTCTGGGCCCAGACCTGCGAGGTCCACCCACTGCCCAGGCAGTTGCCAACATCTGCCAGGACGATTTCCACAAGGAAGGCTGAGTGCCTCTGAGCGCTGGGCAGGCAGCAGTGTCAGTGGCACCATGGGGAGGTCATCGTCTCCCCATCTTGTATTTGCCCACCATGGCCTCCTTGCCTGTGGGTCACAGGCCCAGCAGCAGCAGGCACAGAAGCCACAGATGCTCCTAACACATTAACCAGCGGGACAGTGGATGGATGGAGCTTAATCTGAGATCTGGCCGCTTGGGACAGGGGCATGAGGGGCAGGGCCCTGCTGCTGGCAGAGGATCCCCCTCATTCCCCATGCTCTGCTTGCACTTGTCTTAGGACAGCCGCTAAGGGCCAGACTGGTGTCTACACATGCTTTTCTGTCATTCTGCTATGTGGTGCTGGCTTCTGCAGGGAGCTAGGCTGTGCAACTAACAGATCACAGCCTCTCAGCTATGGAGAATGGGATGGATGGGGGCGTGGGGAGGTCCTAGAGGGACAGGGTAAGTGGGAAGATGCGATGCAGGTCAGCCCTGTTTCTGAACCTTCCCTAAAGGTGGGCCTGAGCCAGCGCAGGCCCCTTAGACATCACCCACCATGACCCTGCCAGACCCTCACCCAGAGCCCCCAGCACACACCCGACCACAGCCCCTAGCCCCTACCCGATGAGACCCTGGGCCCCTAGTTTCCTCCAAACAATCCACACTCCCTGTGCATCAAATAGAACCAACCCCAGCTGTGGGGCAGGGGGACCCCCAGCAGGAATGGCTCTATTTCTCCCCATCTCAGGATCAAGGCTGAGGCCCCTCCATTGCCTCCATCTCCTTTTCCATGGACTACATTAAAAGGGGTAGGTCTGGCACACCTTCAGACCAGCCAAAGGGGGTGATGCTCTGAGTATGTGTTTTCTCAAGAAAACAGCACTTTCCACGCCCCTGCCATATATTTGGCTGGTGGGCAGCAAAGAGGAGCAGGTTCCCTCTGAAACTACAAAGCCAGCCTAGACTCCTGCCCAGGGAAATCAAGACAGAATCTCAGCTGCTGAGGAAAGTGGGGCTTGGGTCTCCAAGCCCAGGAGAAGCCGCCCTTATTCTGTCCCCACCTCTGGTTGCCTACTCAGGTCCCAACCCAGCTCAACTCAGGCCCAGCCCCCCACCAGTGGAGCACAGAGCTCGGTGCCCCTGGGTGACCCCGTGCTTGTTCTTGCCTTCCCCAGGGCTGAAGACCATCGTGGGGGCCCTGATTCAGTCTGTGAAGAAGCTGGCTGATGTGATGGTCCTCACGGTCTTCTGCCTCAGTGTCTTTGCCCTCATCGGCCTGCAGCTCTTCATGGGCAACCTAAGGCACAAGTGCGTGCGCAACTTCACAGCGCTCAACGGCACCAACGGCTCCGTGGAGGCCGATGGCTTGGTGTGGGAATCCCTGGACCTTTACCTCAGTGATCCAGGTGCGAACTCTCTCTGCAGCTGGGGAAGGCTTTGCGAGACCAGCAGGGCGGGGTCACCTCCCACACATGCGTCACCAGCGGGCAGGCCTCCAGGGTTGTTCGAGCCCTGTCTGATCCCCCAGAGACCCAGACAGAGGACAGATGGGGAGCAGACTTAGGCCCTGCCTTGTGACTTCCCAGGCTAGATGGGGAGGCGATGCTTGAGGAGTGGGAAGTACGGAGTTAGATGGAGGGCCAGCTGGGGGAAGAGCAGCTGCAGCATTTGGAGATGGGACTGACCCTAGAGTGTTGCAATGGCAAGGTGACCAGCCTGCCCACAGACTGTCAGCTTAGGAAAGGGCTGGACACGGAGCCGGAGTAGTTGATGAGGCTTCAGAGTGAAGCCCCACCTAGCTGGCATGGAGATCTCCCGGTTGACATCAGCGTTCCTTGCCAGGATGCTAATTCCATGTACATGTACCCCAGAACCCTGCAAGGGAGTTGGAACAAGCCCAGTGATTGTGCCAAGTTGTGTGAGCCCCTCTGTTGTTTCACCGCCCTGTGGCTCACACTTCCATTCTCCAGGCTGATGGCCAGCACCACTCTTGACTAGAGCCATTGGTCTGTTTCAGAGGTACATGCTGCTGCGAGGCCAGATTCCAGGCCACAGGACCCTGGGCCAGAATGACTCTGAGGGCCATTCTGAGGTTAGGGCCTCTTACATACACCAGCAGTCCACTTTGGAAAACGAAACATAGACACTTAGTGAGTAGTTCAGCAGTGGCCTCATAACAGTGGTTCTAAAACTTCCATGTGCACCCAAGTCACCTAGAAGACTCTGGAAAACAGATTTCTGGGCCCCACCACCCCTAGAGTTTCTGAGTCAGTAGGTCTGGGTGGCAGTCGGGAAGTTGCATTTCTGAGCAGTTTCCAGTTGACACTGATGATGATGGTTCGAGGACCACGCTTTGACAACTGTCGCCTAAGACAAGGCCAGATAATGGTGAGTGTTGGGGACTGATGACTGCCACAGAGAGGAGAGGACAAGACAGGCAGTCCTGTTTGGTGCATCTCCATCCAGACAGACCACAGCATTAGCATGGTGACTATGGCAGGCATCACTTCTACCATTTTATGTGATGGAAGTGAGTACAGAATTGGGCAGTAGCCGGCCAAGGCCCCACAGTGACTCGGCAGCCAAGCTGGAACTCTGCCCAGACCCTTGCCTCCTGACCTTGGTGGGCCCCCTGAGTGGTTTCGGGTGGGGTGCAGAAGCTTCCTGTGGGGACAGCTGAGGCCCTGCCTCGGGCTTCCCGTGTCTTCTGAGAGCATGGGGACACTGGCAGCAGGATGTCTGCAGAGGAGCAGGAGGAAGGCCAGAGGCACAGCCAGAGTTGCCTGAAGCCTGGCCAGGCAGAGGGTAGGGGCAGGGAAGGGGCAGAGAAGAATGAAGACCACTAGTGAGGTCTCCACCTCCCCAAAACCCTGGATGCAAGGGAGAAACTTTTGGGCCAGCGTGCCCCTCACCAGCATGATGTTTCTCTTACAGAAAATTACCTGCTCAAGAACGGCACCTCCGACGTGTTGCTGTGTGGGAACAGCTCTGACGCTGGGTATGCAGCACCCACCGCCCCGGGTCTCTTTGTCCTGACAGAGGAGTCTCCTGGTGTTTTCTCAACTGATTCTATTTTCTATTGATGCCCTGACCCCAGGGACAGTGAGGCCTTCTTTTGTCTCCCTTCCCTGCCAGGACCCTTCCCCAGCTTCCCACCTTGCCCCCAGCACAGAGGAGACAGCTGCTGGAGAAAGGTCAGGGACAGAGCTGCAGGGAGAGCTAACGGAGCCCTGAAGGTGGGCTGGGACTGCGGGATAGCTCGGGATGCCTTCTACAGCCCCCCAGCCAGCCCACCCCCAACTCCATCCCTTCCAGAAGCTCCCCAGAACTGCTCCCTCCAGCTCCAGTCTTCCCTCCCTCGCTGCTGAGCTGTCCCTTGGAGTGAATGTGGTTTCCCCAGCAGCCTGGACTTTCCTTGAGATGCCCCAGTAGCCACGTGCAGCTTCCAGGGCCCTGTGCACACCAGGGTCTGGATCAGTGTGACAGTGCCATGGAGTGTTGGAGAAGGGGATCACAGAGGGTCACCTCAAAGGAGAAGTACCAAGTTTGTTGCCTCCTTCCTGTCACCAAAGAGATTGTCTGAAAGGTCGTGGGACATTAACAACACACAGAGGTCCCTTGGATGCATCCATCCACTTGCTAAGTCCGTGTGTGTGTGTGTGTGTGTGTGTGTATCACACACACATACATGCACACATGACTCCAGACCAGCATTTCCTCTTTGGGAGAGAGGCTATCACCTCCAGCTCTGTGAACTGTGGATCTGCCTCACTGAACCAGTGACTGTGTGCACAGTTGTGCAAATGGGCTCCTGACATGGCCAAGCCCCAACCCATCCCCTCCAGAATCATTTCTCAACCCCATGGCCCTGCCTTTGCCCTGGGCTCATCCCGTTCAGCTCAGCCGAGGCTCACTGCTCTCCCCAACCCTGCTCTGCCCCATGCCCGTGCTGTACTCAACTCCTCATGGGGTAGACGGGCAGAGGAAGAGACATGAGCCAGGCTTGCATGCTTCCTCTCTGTGAGGAGAGGCAACTTAATAGTAGCTGGGGATGGTGTGTCATATGGGCAGAAGGGAGCTTGATTTAGGCCTAGCAGAGTACAGATAGGTAGAGTTAAGTGGAAGATAGTGTCCCAGTGGGAGGCACGCACGAACAAAGTCACGGAGGCAGGATCCAGCCACGTGGCACTAGGCTTGTGAAGCTCAGCTTCACAGAGCAGTGGGGCATACACTGGGTTGCCCAGGGCGATAAGTCCAGCCCAGCAAGGGTCTCAAGGGCAGCAGACCCCTGACAGCATGGAACAAAGTCTCTGTGTGTGGCTGCAGGACATGTCCCGAGGGCTACCGGTGCCTAAAGGCAGGCGAGAACCCTGACCACGGCTACACCAGCTTCGATTCCTTTGCCTGGGCCTTTCTTGCACTCTTCCGCCTGATGACGCAGGACTGCTGGGAGCGCCTCTATCAGCAGGTGTGTGTGCCCACAGAGGGACAGCAACTGTGGGCTCAGGGTCCAGGCTACACAAGTGACTAGCCAGAAGCGGCCCCAGCAGCCTCCCCACTGGTGAGAGCTTTGGAGGGGACAGGGGACAAGGACCTTTGCTTCTGAGGGAGAAGGGATCCGCAAGCAAAGGAACTTTCTTTTTGCTGGTGATGAAGCACCAGTCCCTTCATATAGGATGCTGTCTGCTCTGTGAGTGGGACACTCTTTCTCCCTGTAGGATGGAATATTCTCCCTCTGTGGGCACAGCATGCCCTGAGTTGGGTGAGACATTCTGCCTCCCTCCTTGGGTGGGACACAGCCCCACTGTGTGCAGGTCATTCTCTGCAGGTCAGTACATGTCCCTCTCTATAGGTGGGACATCTCTACCCTCCTCCCTAGGCTATGGCTATTTGAACGCCTGGTACAACTAGACCAGGTGACTTGGAAATGCCATAACCCAGTAGGGGCCCCAGTGAGGGTGACCTCTGCCCCCTTGCTCCCCCAGACCCTCAGGTCTGCAGGGAAGATCTACATGATCTTCTTCATGCTTGTCATCTTCCTGGGGTCCTTCTACCTGGTGAACCTGATCCTGGCCGTGGTCGCCATGGCCTATGAGGAGCAAAACCAAGCCACCATCGCTGAGACCGAGGCGAAGGAAAAGCGCTTCCAGGAGGCCATGGAAATGCTCAAGAAAGAACACGAGGTGGGTGAGCAGTGCCACCAAGGAGCCTCTAAGCCCTCACCTGACTGTGGGTGCTTATAGGTGGGGTATAGGCTGGGTAAAGCTGGTGCCTGCAGGCATGGTACATGCTGGGTAAAGCTGGTTCCTGTGGGCATGGTGCAGTCCCTGCTGGGTAAAGGTGTTTTCTGTGAATGTGGTATCTGCTGAGTAAAAATTTGGAACCTGCTGGGTTAAGACGTGCCTGTTAGTGAGGAGCCTACCAGGTAAAAGTGGCATCTGCTGGGTAAGGTGGGTCCTATGAGTGGGGCTTGTGCTGGGTAAACTTGTTCCTATGGTCATCCTGTCTTCCAGATGAAAGTGGCACCAGCTGGGTAAAAATGGTGCCTGCTGGGTGGTAGCTCCTGGGTGAAGATGGTCTCGGTGAGCACAGTGCATGCTGGATAAGAGATCCGTGTGTCCATGCACATAGTTTATTCCGGTCAAGGGATGCCTTCCGGTGGGGTAGTGAAGAAGGTCCAATGTCAGAGAACAGAGCTATCTCAGAAAATAAGCACTGACAATGCTGCCCTAGCCGTCCCCAGTCCCCCACATGGTGGAGCCTGGAGGCTGGTTATAGAGTGAGCTATTAGAAGCCAGGCTGTGGGCACCCACTTGTTCTTCTCACTGCCCCATGCCACATCTTCCAGTACACTTTTGGCCAGCTAAACCTTCTAGGAGAGCCTCTGCCCTCTGGTTCTGCCACTTCTCTGCTCATCCACACCCACCTCCCACCTGTTCCACACACTCCCCTCTTCCAAGACTGCCCACTTTAGCCACTCCTATTTTCCTTCCTGGATCTTGATCTTCCCCAAAATATTCTGGGTCTGTCTGAGTTTATCTCCATGATGTCCTCATTTTGGAGTAGGTGTGCAAGTCCACTTACTGATAGAGAAATCCAAGTCACTGAGAGTTGCCTGGCCTGCCTGAGCCTGAGGCTGCACAAAGTCTCAATGATGGAAGCATCCCTTCCTCCACTCTTTTCCAGGCCCTCACCATCAGGGGTGTGGATACCGTGTCCCGTAGCTCCTTGGAGATGTCCCCTTTGGCCCCAGTAAACAGCCATGAGAGAAGAAGCAAGAGGAGAAAACGGATGTCTTCAGGAACTGAGGAGTGTGGGGAGGACAGGCTCCCCAAGTCTGACTCCGAAGATGGTCCCAGAGCAATGGTAATCCCAGCTGTGGTTCTAGCTTTTCCAGGGTGGGTCAGGCATGAAAAGCTCATCATGCTAGGTTCCTGTACAGTCACAGCCCCCATGGTTGCTCCTCTCTGCCCTTCCTGTTTCCCATGGCCTTCCTTAGAGTAGGGAAGCTCTGGGCAGAGGGACAGGCTGGTTTTGGGTGTTGTGATATCCCCAACCTGAGGCCAATATCCCAGCACTGGAGCTGGGGCTGGGGGACGAGGCCCCATGGTATGGGTTGGTAGGAGTTCAAGGACATGCCCATAAGAGTGAGGGGCCATTCTGAGTGCCCCAGGTCCTGCTCAGACCGGGCCTGTCTGCAACACCAGGAGCCTTCCTGCCTCCTTCTCCCTTACCCAACCTGAGCTCTAACTCCAAGCCCAGTTAAGTTTCAGGCTCCCAGCTCCAGAGACATAGATTTGAGGGGAGTAGAGATCCCAGAAGATACAGGATTATCTCTAACCCCACATCCCCTCTTCCAAGTACCCCGGCCCGACCCACCCAGTTCCTGTGTGGCAAAAAAAGCCCTCAATGCTCCGAGAAGTTTGGCTGAGGCCAATGGCACAAAGACAGGCTGGGAGCGCATGAAGAGCACATGTCATGGTCGTGTCCCCTCTCCTCGTGCCCTTAGAATCATCTCAGCCTCACCCACAGCCTCAGCAGGACTTCTGTGAAGCCACGTTCCAGCCGCGGGAGCATTTTCACCTTTCGCCGGCGAGACCTGGGTTCCGAAACAGATTTTGCAGATGATGAAAACAGCACAGCGGGGGAGAGCGAGAGCCACCACACATCACTGCTGGTGCCCTGGCCCCTGCGCCGGACCAGTGCCCAGGGACAGCCCAGTCCTGGAACCTCGACTCCTGGCCACGCCCTCAATGGCAAAAAGAACAGCACTGTGGACTGCAATGGAGTGGTCTCCTTACTGGGGGCAGGTGACCCGGAGGCCACATCCCCAGGAAGCCACCTCCTCCGCCCTGTGATGCTAGAGCACCCACCAGACACGGTGAGCCAGCCCCGAGATGCAGGCACCAGGGCAGTTCTGGTCTCTCAAACCGATCACAAGTGCCAAGTCCAAAAATACTCACCAAATATTTGTTGAGCACCTATTATGTGCTGGGCTCTAGGTGCATAAACTTACAAAAAAAATCTCTGCCCTCATAGAGCATCCATGCTAATGGGGACAGACAGACAAAAATCAAAGGAAAGCCAGGTGCGATGGGGCACGCCTGTAATCCCAGCACTTTGGGAGGCCGAGGTGGGGGGATCACGTGAGGTCAGGAGTTCAAGACCAGCCTGGCCAACGTGGTAAAACCCCATCTCTACTAAAAATACAAAAATTAGCTGGGCGTGGAGGTGCATACCTGTAATCCCAGCTACTTGGGAGGCTGAGACAGAAGAATCACTTGAACTCAGGAGGCAGAGGTTGCAGTGGGCTGAGATCACACCATTGCACTTCAGCCTGGGCAACTCCATCTCAAAAAAAAAAAATCAAAAAAGAAAAAATGTCTATATTGTGTGTGGTGGGGATAAAGAAGGATAATAGTTAAATATGTCACAGGTAGTAACGCTGCCATGACCATCATCTGGGGAAGCCTGTTCCGGGCACAAGGAACAGCAAGCACAGAGGCCCAGAGGCAGAATCTGCCTGGCCTGTTGGAGGAGATGCCATGAGGTCAGTGTGGCTGGAACAGAGGGAGCGACGGCGAGAGAAGTTGCAGTGACTGTTCCAAAGGTGATAGGAAGGGACTGGCCAGATTGTGAAAGGCCAATCAGAACTTTGGTCACTTAGTCAATCCTATGACAGACTCATGGCTGCCCAATCAGCCATCAGGTGTCCTTGCGGACCCCGGGCCGCCAACACGATGACCAGAGCAGCCCACCCAGGAAAAAGCTGAACATCTGGCTCAGCCCCCAAGGCCTGCAGGGTACACTTGGAGAGGAAGGTAGAACGGATGGGAGGCTTGACCAGGAAGGTGGAGGGTGGCCTGAAGATGCAGGGCTCCCAGCCGCATGGCTTATTTCATGCCACTCAGACTCTTGCTCAATCTGTGGAACATGGTACAGGTTAATTAATCTCTTTGTGCCTCAATTTCCTCATCTGTAAAGTGAAAATTATACGCCAGCAAGTTGTGGTGAGGACTGAAAGAGTGCTACTAGGTCCAGTGTTGAGACCCGGACTTGCCTGGTGTTGGAGTCATCAGTATTATCTGTTATCAGTGTTAGTGAGCAGGAAGGAGTGAGGTTCCTGGGGCACATTGCAGAATGCCCAGGGTCCCACACTCCTCTGGAGCACAGTGTGAAGGGAGGAAACTGGGCACCCCTGGGGGCAGACCACAGCTTTAGGTAAAGCTGGGGAGGCCCTGGCCCATCTGAAGGGTGGGGTGTCTAGCTTCCAGGAACACTAAACCAGGCAGGTTCAGCCCTGGAGCTTCAGCCTCATGGAATCAGGTCAGCAGCTGCGAGCGCTAATAGAATTTCCTAATCTCGTTAAGGAGAAAATCATCTCATTGTACTGCACATGTCGGGAGGAATCCAAGTTCAAGCACTTCATTACCAGGAATTCTGACTTCACCCATTCTCACTTCTGTGGGGCCCATTTGTAACCTTAAAGGGATTAGCAGGCCAAGACAGGGTCATTTGCAAAGTTAAAGGAATTAGCGAACCAAGATGGAGACATTTGAAGAGTCAAAGAGATTAGCAGGCTGCAGGCCCTGGGAATGCCTTCTGTGCTTTCACTGGGTCCCCAGTGACACATTCCTGCCCAGTTCTAGTCTGAAAACAGAGCACAGTGTTGGGCACACTGTGGATGCCTAATCAACAAGGATGGGGAGGAAGGGCCAGCCCAGCAGACAGCTCATGTTCAGTTTATCCAGATTGGGAGGTAGGGACTGAAGACTTACTTTGCCCTCTGCTTGTATGAGACTGCCTGGTTCCAAAAGTCTAGATGTAGGTGGGAGACGCACACTGAATATCCATTCCTTTTCTCCCCCTGCATGTTAAATCTTCATCCTCATTTCCTGTGGCCACCTAGCAAGTTAGGAACAGAGCTGGAACTCTAACCCAAGCCTTCTGATTGATTCCCAAGAATTTATCCATCCATCTAATATTTATCTAGTGCCAGCCTGCCATGTGGAGTGCCAGGCAGTGTTGAGACTCCAGGGTTATATCAGCAAACAAAGAAGGCAAGATCACTGTCCTCTTGGAGTTTATACCATAGTTAGGAAGACAGTAAACTAATCAATATTTTCAGGTAGCAATAAGTCATGTGATAGCAAGTTGCTAAGGGGAGAGATGAGGATGAGGACTATTAGAATACTTGGGAAAGGCCTTCCCAAGGAGGTAACATTAAAATTGACAGGCAAATGATTTTAGGGAGCCAGCCCTAAAGATGCAGAGGAATAGCATTCAGGTAGAGGGAATAGCAAGTGCAAAGCCCCTGAGGAGGACACATCCAAGGGATGAGAGTGACTAACAGGGCCAGGTGTGGTGAAACATTAAAATGAGTTTCATGAGTTAGGATTTGGACTGTGCAGAACCTTCTAGACCATAGAAAAGTTTGGATATACTGTGTGAGTAAGATGGGGAGGAGTAGGATGGGAGGAGTTGTTGAACAGAGGAGTGACATTATCTGATTCACTTTTTAAAGGAATCC